CTAACGTGTCCTTTTGATGTGACTAAAAGCGTAGATTTGAGAATAAATTACAGTTATGAACGTTTTTTTTAATATAAAATTAGTGACTTTTTGTATAAACTGTGACAAAGTTGTACCGTCCCTAATTGACAATAAACGTTTCGGTTTGTCCGATATTATTGTATATTTGAACTCTTGTCCCAGAGCCACACTTTTAAGTTTAAACGCAAGATATCGACTCTCTTAAAAAAGACATTAAAGTCATCCGCGAGAAATAGTTGGGCATAGAAAATGCGTTAGACATGTTTGGAGAAGAACAATACTGTGCGACTACACATCATGAAAACACGAAAACTGTCAGTATTTTTATGGATTGCCTAACTTGTTAAAAGTCTTTCCTATAAAGTTAAACTCAAAATCGTCCTCCGGCATGGTCCACGAAGGCCTCGAGCTATCAAATCCGATAGTTTGCTTATTCACCTAATTAATCTAGGAATTGCCTTCCGAAAGACGAAGTCTGTGGTGTTTGATTTTAAGAGGGTTCATTTTTGCATCGGAGTGTGGTCCGACACATGGCCAAGGGTAACTGCGAAAACAGCCACAGACTCCGGATTCACTACTTACTCCCTTCTCCTAAAACGTTTAGGTGAATTAATGATATGGACTCTAGCAGACGAGTTAGGAAGCCTTGTTTCCAGTCGTGGAGGTGCCTCTGGGGGCCATCAGGACGCCATCAACCATCTACACTGGTTCTCACCTGAATCGGTTTTCCTGGGTACTTCTAAATCTGGACAATGTGGTGCAAATGAACATCTCGTCTCGTTTGGAGCCGATGGACGTATAATTTGCTGGACACTAGCGATGGATTCCAGGGAGCCTACGTTGACCCCCATCAAAATGTACATTCAGAGCACCTTTGAGTAGTTATCAACCTTGATTGCTTAAAGGTCAATAATTCAGAGGCTTTATATCATGTTCTGCATAAATTTTTACTGGAAACCGTTTTTAAGCGTAGTAATTAGATTTTTACCTACATCGAATTTGAGAGACCAGGCTTGGTGTTAAACTGGATTTATAGGGCTGGATGAAAGTCTGTACAAAATCTCACTCTTCTCTAAACGTTATTTGTTGAGGACAATAATATTCGACTTCGTTCTCTGCACCCGCTCACCACGTCAACCTATGAAACCTGCGTCGAAAACTACAGTATTATTTTAGAGCAGTCCAAGCATTTATGTGTAGTCTGTCCAGTCAACTGCTTGCTCTCTTTTCCCTCATGATTATACCTCACTTTCGCTTACTTTGAAGTTACCAGATTTGTGGAAGAGATCAACTTGGAGCCGCCGTACAAGACCGTCTTTACAGCGTCTCAGCCCTTGGTGGGACAGAAGGCATCCCATCAACTAGTCTGGATCACCCACTAGGCATCACAACAGCTGTTTTCTCACCACAGAACCAAGAGAGCCTATTAGTCGGTACAGAGAGTGGCGGTCTACTCTGCTGCAGATTTGACGTGGTCGACTGGGGTGTGCCGAAAATCGGTAATTAACATTGCTGAAGATTTCACTTGCGTTTAATGCCTCGTTAACCCAGCCTACACATTAAATAGAAGTAATGCTTATGTGCCCTTAGGGTGTCAGTATTAAACCAGGAATTAATTCGGCATTGAAAAGAACTAGACCTTTTAGTGCGCTAGGACTTTATGGCACATTAAATTCGTTGGTGAGGTGGGGAATAATGGTTTCTTACATTAGAGAGTTCTTACCTGCTTCTAAGTCACAGAAATATTTAAACCAATACGCTGCGGGAAGACGGGTTCCCAGTTAGACTAGCTACCAGTTGTCCTGTGGTCGTTTCCCTGCACTAGAGCACAAGAGGAAATAACCTCAAAGAGGCCATCGGCGTGGCTATTGAGGAGGCGCCTGTGCTCAAAATCCCCGAAATATATATCATGAAAGACGTCCGATTCAAATACAACGATCCAAACTAGGGCGTTTCTGGAAACCGAAGCGCTCCACAACTGGGGGTCCAGTGATGCAGGCTAATAATATACGAGGTGGACCACTCGGTCAAGCGCGGACTCTAGATTTTGAATTCTGGAGTGAGTGAACGTTCCTGGGTCCTTGTAATCAAACTCTGACGGTGCGTTGCCCTCATCAGTACACAGTGGATGTCCGAGGCCTGTCCGATGTCCAATTTCCCGACTCAGACTCCCAGAAATGCAGGATCGCGGAGGTAGACTTCCACTTCATCCTATACCGCAGGGGCTCATGCAACTCAACTGGTAGACAGAGTGCAGCGATCGTCCTATCGCAACGGGCGAATCATACACCACTTGTTTGGGAACCAGTCAATGGACGGCTAGCCTACTCACAACTGAAGGATCACTTAGGAGCATCTCTGTCGTCACCCCTATGAGCAACAACATCAGCTACCCACCAGCTCGACAAAGTAACTCGAGACGACTGCAATATTTCGTTGACAACTTCCTCGTCATGACTGTTC